GGTCTTGCCAGAGAGTGTGTGAACCTTTAAAAAAGGAAACTGAGAGGAAGCTTCTAGGACGGTTCCTTCTTAGAAGCTCTAGCGATCTGAGCGACATCACAGGGAACGTGACAGAGCGCCTTTGAAACAGCCGTGGGTGCTCTCATGGCCACCGGCTGACCATGAGGACCTGCACCGAGCCCTCCGTTCCCAGGCCCAACCTCCTGGACCCCACTGCACCGAGCTGCCGTGGGGCCACCTCACTGCACCGCTGCAGCGGACACCSTCTCGGTTGGCTCCCTCTGCTCATCGGATCAGCCCTGGCCTTGAGGAAGCAGTGCCGAGCTACCCCCGACCAGGTATTCTGACACTGCAACACGGCGGTTCCCATACGTTCCTCCACCTGCGAGGACACCGCTGTTGTCAGGAAAGACCCAAGACTCACACTTCACCCATGTGGAGCCACTGAATAGTCTCGTTTGGAAAGTCGTGGTGGGGTGAATGTAAATAGCAAGAAAACCAATCAGAGAGCTATCAGAAAAAATCAGAAAACACCAGCCACAAACCAGGAAGAAAAAGCAATTTGCACTTTGGGGATGATGAAGGAGGTGTAGGGGTGTCTCAGAGAGTCCAGCGGTTCATCCTGAATCCCATGCTGTTCCCACTGAACCACACTGACTCCCCCAAGGCCACGTGGGACCTGGAGACTCAGATGCCAAAGGGAAGGAGAGGTGGGACCGTGTTCAGAGCAGCACAGTAGTGAGCCAGGTGGGGGACAGTCAGCCCGGAGGTCCGAGGAGGCAGCAGGGAGGGGCGGCGGGGATGGGGGCGATGGGGATGGGGGGCGGCGGGGCAGGCCTGATCCACCTTCTGCTTTCAGAGGTGAGGGCAGTGGTCAAGGTTCTAATGGGCACAGCCCACGTTGCCTGGGTCATGGGGGCTGGGCCACAGGCCTCTGGGCTGCCCTCCGGGAGGGTGGTGCTCACTCACCACGGCTTCCTCCCCTCCCGGACCGGACCCCTTTCTTCAGCCAGAAGAGCAGGTGCTGTGACTGCGTTGCATGGGCCACCCGAAATCTGCTGCAGACGCCAAGCCTTTCACTTCCTTGATCTCGTCCCCTGGAGGTCTCCAACTTCCTGCTTCTCTGAGGGAAGCGGGGCCTTCCCTTCCCRGGTCTGCCCTTGGGTCTACTTGGATCTTACTTCAGCTTCCATCACTTCAGCCTTTACTCTCTGCTCAGCGCCCCGAGCTCTCTGCACCTCTGGGGCACCTCAGTCCACCTCTCTCCATCCCTCCTGAGTCCTCCCTGATTCAGGGCTCCCCTCCCTCCCAGTGCCATCCAGGCCCACGCTTAGCCCCCACGAGGACACAGGACCTCGAGCAGGGACGGGTCAGGGCAGCTGGCCTGTCCTGCAGCCCAGCCTGGTGGAAAGAGCCAGGAGGAGCTGGTGCAGCCCTCACTCCTTCTCCACAGGTACACATCCGACTCTTGTCTGGGTGTGGCCATGACATCTGAATATGGGCGCACACAGCTCAATGTGTTTGCTTCTGTTTGTCGTATCCTAGCTGTAATGAGTTAAAATTTCCCAATCTTATAACTCAAAAAACTTAGCACCAAGAAAACCCCAAATCACCCAATCAATGAATGAGCAAAAGAACTAGACAGAAACCTCTTAAAAGAAGAAACACAAAGGGCCAATAAATACATGAAAAAACGATCAACATCTCCAGCAATCAGGGAAATGCAAATCCAAAATCAGGGAAATGCAAATCCAAATACACCAAGTCCCAGGAAGTCTGGGGAGCAGCCGAAGGAGAAGGGGAGAGGTGGGGGAGGGCTGGAGAGAAAAGGGAGGACACGGGTGGGAGCCGAGATGAACTTCCATGCCCGAGTGAGTTTGTTTCATGATAAACGTGAACATCTCTTTCTGGAGGTTTCTCTGGGTTATTAAGATTTCGTTTTCCATCAGTTTCTTCCTATTTGATGGTCAAGCTGAAATCTTTGCTCTGGAGAGTTGAGGAAACGGAAACAGAGTCTCCCGTCTCATTTGCTCCCAGCGCAGCTTTTGGTTATCATTCTTCATGTTCAAAACAGAAGATCTGCTCTCTGCGGCCACACTGATCCCCAGTGCTTTGGCTTTGGTTATGGATGTAAATGGACTCCAGGGTTCTATTTTCTTCCATTTTTTCTCTCATTACTAGACTCTGTAGAAATGATTTTAAAGAAAGACGTCATGTGGGTCCATCATGGGTCTCTTTCATATTTAAAAAGGCTTGATTTTCTCTCTCCTTGCAGACAACCTTGGCTCAGTGTCAAATTCTTATGTTTTATGCTGCCTGACATTTTGTCTTTAAAATTATACTTAGAAAAAACCCACATGAGCCAGGTGCAGTGGCACCCCCTGTGATCCCAGGGATTGGGAGGCCAAGGCAGGAGGATCACAGGTCTAGACCAGCCTCCACAACTTCGCAAGGGCCTGTCTCAGAGTAAAGAACATAAAGGCCTGGGGACTCCGGCAGAGAGTGTGGCAGGCTGCCCTGGCTCCATCCCCAGTGCTGGGAGAAGGAAGGAAGGAGGCAGGAAGGAAGGAAGGAGGCAGGAAGGAAGGAGGAAGTGGAAGGGAGACGGAGGGAGGGGGAGGGAGGGGGAAAAATCACGTCTTAAATTTTGTAACTTATTTTCCATCTCTTTATTGATAATACAGTGAGTTAGAAAAACGTCATTTGTTGATAATTATGACTGAAAACTATCTGAGATAACATAAAATATTTGGATATGGTTTAAAAGTGTTCATATTAAGACATTTCAGGGCTGGGGCTATGGCAGCGGTAGAGCGCTCGCCTAGCACAGGAGGCCGCTCGGTCCGACCCTCAGCACCACATAAAAATAAAATTAAAGGTATTGTGTCCACTACAACTAAAACAAAATATTTTWAAAAAATTTTATAGTTACATTTTATTTTAAAAATTCATGGTGAATACAATCAACTCTCAGTTCCTGCGTCTCAGGAAAAAATTTGAGCTTTCTTTTTGCACCAGGGATGGAACCCTGGGCCCTCAACAGCTGAGCCACATCCCCAGCCCTTTTCTCTGTTCTGTTCAAGGACAGGGTCTTGCTGAGTTGCTTCAGGCCTCGGGGTTCGCGGCTAAATGGAGCTTGCTTGAGACTTGGTGTCGGGAGCCTGCCATGAGGGGAGCCTGGCTCTGGCCGCTGTCTGGGGCCTGGTAGAGAAGTCAAGGTGTGCCTTCATATAAATGTCCACGCGAGCTTTCCAGTGAGAGCAGAGCCCCAGGGCTGGCTCTTCTACTCTTCTGGGAGGGAAAGGCTCCCGCAGAGCGGGAAGGCAAGGTCACGGAGGCCTGGCAGGAGAAGCACTGGGCGCCAGAGACCCTGTGCTGGGGCTGCCCCAGGCTGCCGCTGGTCCACGGGTGGGAGCCGCTGCTTCTSCTGGAAAAGCTGACAGGTGCTGTTGGGGCTTAGATGGGAGGTGCCCCCAAAGCTCCAAGTGAGATCACTCAAGAAGGTTCAGAGGTGAAATGCCTGGGTTACGAGAGCCTCGACCCAATCCGTGTGTTGGTCCTCTAGGGGTAGAGGCCAGAGCAGAGTGAATTGTCTGTCATTTCACATTGGAGCAGCCGCGCCTCCTAACCAGTCGCCTGCAGAAACTCTCGTGCACACCTCCCTTTCTGATGCCCCGCTCCCTCCAGGGTCCCGTCAGCTCACCTAGACCCACCTCCACGTACCACAGGTGGCGTTGAGCCCTAGCTGCCCGCGGTGGGTGCGGGCTCAGCGCTGGCCACATGCACCAGCTGAAAGGGGGTTGGCTAGTCTAGCTCTGCTCTGCCTAAACAAAAGTGGGGGGAAGCCAGCCCCCCACCCCAGCGCTTCTCTGTGGCTGGTGGTGGGGGACTCAGCTGCCCTCCCCTGCCCTGCCCAGAGAAGGCAGCATCTGCCCCTGGGCAGGCTGCGGGGCCAGTTTACCTTAGACTGCAAGGTCTTGGTGGGTAGGACCAGAGAGAAATATTTCTTCCTCTACTTGCACATTGTTAAACAAGAGAAAAGCAATTTTTAAAAAAGTTTGGCAGTAAAAGGTCCTCACTTGAAGTGACGTTAGCTTTCTAGCACAGGCATGGGACACAGGAGGACGATGACTCTGCAGGGTGCTCCCTGCAGCCCACCTGGGGCGGATGACAGAAAACAAATGCCACCACCAGGACACAAGCRCAGACGATGGCAGGTGTCCGTGAGGGTGTGGGAGTCAGAGCCCTGCAGCTGGCGGGGGCAGAGTGGGAAGTGGCCACTGTGGGAAGAGCCCAGCCCTTCTGCTAAGGGTGAGCGGGACTCACCCTGTGACCCAGGGTGACGCCTCTAGTAGTGCGCATAAGTGAATATACCCAGCTGACTCAGAGCAGGGACTTCCACACCCACGCTCAAGGGTTCACTGAAGCCCAAAGTGAAGCACCCAGGGGGCCTTGTGCCAAGTGAGACTGGCCAGCCTCAAGGACACCAGTACCCTCCACCTATGAGGTGGCTGCAACAGCCACACTCATGGAGACAGAGCAGGGGTGGCTGCCGGGAGCTGGGGTGGGCCTTGCTGGATGGGCRTGTTCTTCAAGGTGAGCAGAGACTGCCGGTTGGGTGAGCAACGCGGCGAATGTCCCTAGCTCTGCACTGCACGCTTACAGATGGTCGGGGTAGCAAACTTCACGTGCGTTTTGCCACTATTTAAAAAAATAAATTGCAAGCAAGATTAGCTCTTCAAATAAAAACATCTGGCATAGAAAAAAATCAAATGCAATGGATCTAAACAAACAACTCCCCTAATTACACATGCAATGTATTCTAAGGAGCAGGGATGTGCAGAAACCTAATGGGAACATAATAAAATTGTGTTGAAAGATAATGTTTTTCAGACAAGCTATTTCTACACAAATTCCTTCTATTATCCACTGGACTATTAGGGACTTTAAATTAAATGTTCATGATATTAAACGAGGATAAAAATGGCCATTTTTCTCAGCATGACACAGGGCTTCTCAGGACTGAAAGGAACTTGGAGTGACCCTGGTGCCTTCTGGATATCGAGTCCCCTCCCTGCTGGCTGTTCAGTTGTTCCTCTGCAGATCTCACCAGCAGTACACAGTGCTTTCTTCTGGGACAATAGGGCCACTCGACAGCTCATATGGTGGCTCATATGGTTGAGCTGAAACCAGGCCCTGAACCAACCCGCTCCCCTCCTCTGCCCTGAGCCCTTCCCAGCTGACTGCAGGCACCAGGCAGGGTAGCTCAGCCTGCCCACCTCAGCTGCCCCACGGCTGCACACAGCTGCCATCAGGCTTTCCTCACCTCTTGGTGGCTTCTGGGTCATCGTCCCCTGTGCTATGTGCCCTCAGAGCTCCACTCCTCTTCACGCCAGGCTGTTTCGCTGATGGCGGCTTCCAGGCCACCTGCACCATGAAATCACTGAACCRTCTCTTCAGCAGAGGCCAGAATAGAGGGGCGAGAGCAGAGTGACCATGGACATGGCACGTCCAGCCGGTCACGAGAAGTCAGCCCACACAGCATGGTCTTGTGGCCGAGCACGGGAAGCCCAATGTCACCGTRTCTGTGAGTCAGCAGCAGCCTACCCTACTTTGATCAAGAAGACTTAGAAGGTTCTTCAGGATTCTGTTTTCAAAAACAATCCTCGTTGTTCTTCGAACATAGTTTCTAGAATGTCTGGGTACTCATATCCAGAAAGCTCTCCAGCCTTGGATTCCTCTCTTGGGAGCAAATTGTTGCTGAGTGCTGTGCTAAGTAGGCCACTTCCGTGGATCGTTTTGTTTGACCTTCAAAATGGCGCTGATCCTCTCTGAGTYGTTGGAACTCGAGACCCAGGAAGCTGGGGGTCCCCGGTGCACAGCCGTGGTGCAGGCCCCATCCTCCCGGGCAGGGCCTCATTATCACTCAAAGCTTCAAAGGTATGGCACCTGGAGGTGGTGCTTGCTACCTAGTACTTCCACAACACTCACTGTGAAGTAAAAACAGAGTTACACCCAAGAATTGGGGGAAATCAAGGGTGAAGACCAGCTGCAGGCTGCTCCTTGCAGGAAGCTGATGGGAACTCGGTCTCTGGTCCTCCACAGTGGCTTCTGTTGGTAATGACATGAGACCCAGGTTTCTGGAACACTGCAGGGGGACAGAAGCCATCCACAGATCCTCCCAGGGGGACTGGCCTTCTTTCAGGCACCAGTTTCTTGGCTCTGGGCTACGGGTCCCCATTCCCTCTCTCTTGTACCCTACCATGTCCCCAGCACTCAAGAGTGTGAAGCTAACACCTCGGTGAGCACCTGCTACCTTCCTGTTTGTGTGAGAAGCTGGGACAGGAGAGGGAAGGGCAGGGGTGGCCCTGCCAGGGAGCCCAGGGCCCAGGGGAGAGAGTACCCACAAGGCCAGCACAYCCCCAGAGCTTAGGTGGACACACCATAGGAGAGATCCAGTTGCAGAGGTCGTCCAAGGCCCCTCACCCTCAGCTGGGCACCCCAGTGCTGCCTGCTCAGCACAGCCCCACACATGCACCTCTGGAACCCAGCCACGTGGACTGCCCTAGACACCAGTCAGGTCCACAGCCCAAGATATACTTCTGCTGGTGTGAGCCTCCTGGGAAGTGCAGAGGTGGGTGGTGAGTGCATGCCAAGGGGTGAGCAGGAGGGAGAGAGTGAGGGGCAGGGGGACTGAGAGCCCCTTTCCTTTTTAGATGTCTGAGACAGGAGTGGAGGTCAGATTCCTGTGTGCACTTCCTCCTGGGACCCTCTGGGGTCCTGCTGGCTGAAGAGACTGACACGAGAAGGCCCCGGGCTCCTGACCTGTCTGCTGGGGAGAGGTCAGGGGGAAGAGATGAGGCTGGGCCGACAGGGAGATGGCCCCGGGTCACTTCCTGGGCAGACAGCACCAGCTGCACCAGCAGATACTTGCTAAGAAACTTACAGAAAGCCTGCATTTAAATCAGGGCCCACATGACTGGGTCCATGCTGCTCCGAGAAGGAAAAATGCCCGATGGATATTTTGATGGGTGCATGAACACCTCGTGGACACTGAGTGCCTCACCCAGGGTTGATGGGTCTACATCAACCCCTGGCCAGTAGCCACTCTGGGGCATCCCTCTCTTGGGACCCTCCCCTCTTTGGGAGCTCTGCGTTCTTTCTATTATTCTAATAAATCTGTTCTTCCACTCTCACCCTGTGTCCATGGATTTTATTCTCCAAATTCAAGCAACAAAGAACTCACCCCCACACCCCCTGCTACCCTGGGACCCAACTGAAGGTGGGTGCAGGTGAGGAGGGGGAGAAGGAGACCAGGGGCTGGGGGAGCTGGTGGGTTTTCTAGAGCCCTGTAGTATTCAACACAGCCTGGTTCCAGAAGCTGCCAGGAAAGAGCATTTTAGCCCAAGGGAAAACTGTAAAAATGGGCAGTGGCCCCATGCTTCTGTAGACATCAACATGCCCTGAGGCTAGCACATGGAAGATGCTCTCACAAACTTACAATCTTAATTCACATGATGCGTGTGAAAATCTGTAGTTTGTAACAAAAGCAATAGCCTGAGAGACACTAAACTGAGGCCGATGGCTCCCGGGAGGTGACCATGGTCAGCTGCAGGTAGCAGCAGGTCCTGTCTGAAGGGGCTCTGCTCCAGGGCAGGAAGAGCCATCCACCTCTGATTTCTTGGGCTGCACCAGGTGATGCTCAGCAGATTCCCAAATCACCTCCCACGGTGCAGGTCCTGCGCTCCTGTCGGTGGAGGGTCGCTGCCCCAAATCAAAGAGGCTGCAGGCAAACACGAGTGCAAAGACACCCTCCCTTCCAGAGCAGACGCACGTGCCTCTGACCAGACACCCCTGTAGGCTCTGGAGGCGCTGCTCAGCTCCAGCCACACACAGCCCCGTCCTGTCGCGCGAATGAGCTGCTGAAGAGCTACAGCGTCATTTGGAGTGAGCTGCATTATTTTCAGGGCCATGCTGGTCTCAGCAAATTCTGTGAATTCTTGTCAGCGGTTTAAAATAAACACTTCGACAACTGTCGCCCCGCCTCTCTGCCTGCTGACGAGCTCATGATGGGGAGCCCCGGCTTGGGTGCAGGGTCCCCAGCCCCACTCCTCTGTGATGCAAACCACTGGGTTTTCTGGTTGTGCTCATAAAAACTTGGTTTTCCRGAGTCGTGTTGGTGCTCCTCCCTGGCCAGGATCTACAGCTTCTATAACACACGCCTCTGCCACCTCCCTGTCATTCCCACCCATCGGGCTCTCTCCCCTGCAACTCCCATGAGCTTGGGGCACTTGCTCCCGAGGGCGCTCACGTAATGAGCAGGAGCCTCTTCTTTTTTAGGGGCTGGCCCAAAGCCCACGCGAGACACCTTATACATCCCTGGACAGACTATGGGGTATTCTGTTGAAGTTTGAAAGAACTGAAGGAGTCCATATCAAATCATGTATTATTAACATATCATACTTTTAAAGTGTGCATCCACAGAACTCTGTTGGCACACACCCTGTGACGGGTCCCTAGCCTCAAAGGGTTGGGTCACAAGGAAGGTGGGACACCCAGGCAGAGGTGCTGCTCCTCAGACAATGCAGGGCACCGCCCCCTGGGGGCAGGGGCACATTGCCTGGCACCACAGCGTCAGAAAACAGAGCTGGGATTGTCAGGAGGCCAAGCGAGAGCAGGGCAGCACCTGGCAGAGCTGCAGGGAATCACAGGCACCGGCCGTGGTTGGTCCTATCGCTGGTCCCCAGCTCTCCCTGACCACTCTCGGCACTCAGTCTACTTCTCCCTCCTAAGCAGCATGGAGGGAGTGTTCCAGCTGGGCCCCGGTATCTTCTTCCTATGGGCCACTTATTTAATGGAAGGAAAGCGGGTCTCCTTTCCACTCAGCCTCCAGGGAAGAAAACCAAGTTGCCAGCAACCCCTCAGCACCTCAGCTTCAGCAGTGCATAGTCACCGTGCACTCGCAGGCACGGCCATCTCTGCAGAGTAATCAGGAGGGTCCTGCCATCAGTTCTTCTATGTGCCAATTAAAACACTCAGCCATCGTTGGCCAGGAGCACTAAGGAGCATAATGAATTTAAACACAGGTTCTGGGCTGGCAGCATCCGGAGCAGCTGGTGGCCTGCTGGCTCCCTGATGCTGCAAGTCACTCCCGGGGAAGCAGCGCTGCCGGCACAGAGCGCCTGAAAGCAGCGAGGCGGAGCTGGCGCCCAGCAACGCCATGTTTATTTATAAAACAATTTCTCCATCGGGGCATTTGAATATTGTCTAAATTTGTCTCACGAAATATGAAGCAATCTCACCTTCCTCTTGACAGTCTTTTCATACCCAGGATGATAACGTTGCCGATTTAGAGTTCATCTCCTCTCACCGCAGCAACCAGGAAACCTCGTTTAAATAGAGAGGAGTCTTCTTTAAAAACTCTGAAACTTCGTGTCTATGCCCTTGTGCTACCCTCACTTAGTTCTCAGTCAGCTGCCGGGTATGTGGCTCAGGGCTAGATCACCTTAGGTTAAATTTCCATCAAATGGAAACCACCTTTGAGAGGTCATTAGACTTGTCCATGCTGCAGAACCATCGGGCAGTGTGAGGAAAGACGGACAGGGTCACTTGTCCACCCCCAGCCGTGCGCTTTTGCTATGTGCTGCAGAGAGAGTCTCACACATAAGGAAGTGTGTGCACAGAAATGATTTGCAAAAGCAAACATCACAAAACAAAACCAGGAACCACCTGGGTGTCTACAGAGGAGAACTGATAACTCACATGCTCAGGATGGACTGTCCCTCCACTTAGGGAATGCTGCCGCSATGGCTCTAGGAACCCAGTGCCATGGGTGTGAGTGAGGTGGCCCATGGCCATACTGCACCAAGTGCCTTGTAAGGAACACATTTGGTGGGCTCCCAAGTGACAAAGATCCTGGCAAAACTCTGAAGTGGAGCCAATGTGGAAGAGTGGGAGGAAGGAGGAGGGCCTGGGGAGGAGGCAGGTCAGGGCTGAGGCTGGCAGAGCCACCAGACAGGTGCCACGAAGCAGGCTCCCAGTTACCATTTCTCTGAAATCCTAAGATACTAAATTTCGAGGTTGTTTCTCGTCTGTTGCCCAATAAAGGCTGCACTTGTGAGATGACACAGAAGCCATTGAATCTGCAAGGCCACCAACCCCTCTACCTAATAAACAGTGCTGGCTTTGGCTTCATCCCCTGCAGCTGTCTGGGTGGCGACTGGAATGTGACCAGCTTGCTCTCCTTCGCCCCGTGGGCGTGTGTAGCAGAACACCCAGGGACCACTCGTCCTCCCTCCTCCCGTGGCCATCAGCTCCTTCAGAGAGTGACATGCCTGCGGCCAGGGCAGTGCTGCTGCTCTCCCTCGGCACTAAAGACAGCCTGTTGAAGGCAAGTAGGTCTCCTGGGCCCCACCTGCTGCAGGTACCTCCCGCGGGTCTGCCCCTCCTAAGTAGAACACTCCCGTTGAGCAGAGCTGGAGCCCAAGTCCTTTTTAGTTTACTCTGTTCATTATTTACTTTTACATAAGGAGAAATAACCTTGTTTTTTTTGTTTATTAAAAAAAAGCACAATTCCCCATTGCAAAAGAAAAACCCTCAGAGTAAATTGAACACACTCTGTCTTGCTCCCTTGGGTGGAGCCACTGTGCCCACCACCCAAGCCCGGCTAGAACTCATCTCCAGGTTATGGTACCTGAGCATCTCGCATCCTGCCTTTCACGTCAAGCACACGCGGTATCTTCCTTACCAAYAAACATGGGCAGGCGTACTGCCGAGCATTCCTGCTCCTTCAGGGGGTCTCTGGCTCATTACATCATGATTGCACAGAGTTCCACAGAGTTCCAACTCCACAGTCCAAAGTCTATTCTCTAGAAAGTCCCTCAGCATTTTGGAAACCCGGTGGTAAACTGGCCCCGTCCGTTGCCTGGTGGTACTGGGAAGGGGGCTCTGGAGGGCGGCTCAGAGGGCAGATGGAGAGAAGGGGAGGGCCTGCAGGCAGGGCTTCCCCAGAGCTGAGCTGGAGACCCGTGGCGAGGGGACCGAGGCAGACCTCAAATATGGCACTCCATGGGGACCAGGAGCTCAGTGGCCACAGTGGCAGCAGGGAACACTGTAATTTCCGGTGCCTTCATCATGTGGCCTCATGAGGTGGACTGTTAACTGTCCCCAAAGCCTTAGAAGTAGTTACCAACATCATTTCCATTTTAGATGAAAGAGCATATAACTCTCCTGGGTTAAAAAATCTACATAGCTGGATACAATGCCCTKCTTCCCTGGAGATTGCAGAGAAATAAATCCAAGAGTTGTTTTTAAAGGGAGAGAGAGGGAAAAACACTCCACCTCAGAAATAAAGTTTCCAAGAGMTGCAGATCTTCACAGCACTCCTGACAGGCCGAGCGTCTGCGCTGAGTCAGATCTACTTGTCTGCACTCAACGCCTTCAACAGTGTTAACATTTCCTCTTTTCCTTGACATTTTTCATGGTGTGATTCTATATTTAAATAGCTTTAAATCTGAAGCTGGAATGTAAGAATGCATTAAGTAGATAAGAATATGAGACCCAGGAAAACCACAAGGTCTAGAGCCTGCACGAGAGCCGCTCACATGCAGGCACAGGCCTGCATGCGAGAGGAAACTCCCTCTTCCCACCAAGGATCCTCGGGCTTGTCCCTGGCATCCAGCCTGTGAGCCGGGAGACCAGGCTGGCAGCTGCCACTGCACCGGACACGCTCTGCTCTACGTCTGAGTCAGGGCCCTGGTGGGCACAGGGAGCATGGACACTGTGTGTTCTGCAAAGGATGAAAGAGGCTGTCACTGGGTCAGGAACCTCAGGTCCAGGAACGGCCACCGTCATCAAGGCCGATCACCTTCTTACCCTCCACACTCTGGACAGACACAGCCCCCTCCTGGAGATCTCCATGATCAGCACACTCTCCACGGACGCAGGCCTTCGCATCCTGGAAAGATTCTGACCTGGAAGAGAACTCGGCGTGCATGGGCACCTGGCTCCTCATGGCTTCCATCCCCTGTGCTCATGGGAGCAAGAGAACGGTCAGAGTGAACCCAATCCCCCTCCATAAAATGGCCACTACTTCAAACCCACTGCATTCTTCCACTCAGCCGTGGGAGYTCCCTCACCTCTCCCTCCAGG